CTGATACAGGATAACAAAGATATAGGAGAAGCCACATTAAAGTAAAAAAAGAAAACAAAGAACTATTTCGATATACGTCATTCAAAGAAACCACTACTCCAACCACAGATCTTAGCTAGAAACTGCACGTAACTTCCAAAGTTAAAAAATATTGAAACTAAAGGAAGTTGTTATTTTATTGACCTGCCTTTGCAGTGAATACCAAACAATATTGCCCCACTCCATCCGTACCCAGTTTTTCCAAGGAATGTAGATTTTGTCTTCTATTAACATGAAGAAAATACTTATGTTAAAGACTTACCAAGATAAAGTATTTAAAATGTAACACTTAAAAAAGACAATTTGCATATTTTCATAGTTTCAATTTAATGTTTTTCATGTTATGATGAACACAAGATGATTCAGAAAGCTGATGCTTTGTGTCCAATTGTAGTGCTGTAAGAAATATGATGCTAGCGAATAGAATAAGGAATTCCTGAAATGGTTAGCAAGTGGAGACCTTCAACTGAAAGCCCGCATATAGCCCATTTTAATCACTTCATATTTGTCAGAGTCATGTCAATTAAAAGGGGTGCACATAGTGGTGTTACAAATGTACAAGTGTAAAAGGAACATCCTAGAAAATCCTTCTCTCTAAAGATGATGCACTATCAATTGGCATAATCCTTCATCCTTCTACAGATGACAAGTAACAGTTCAAGTTGCAATCTAATGGATTTCTGCAATTAATCAGTCAGTCCAAAGCAATCAGTTGAAAACCACTTTGATGTTTCCTATACTCGAATGTCTCAAGTATGAATAATATCTTTTCCCTCACTCAAATTTCCAGTTAAATTTCTAGATACAGAAACATAAATGTAACCTAGAGGTGGCTACATCATTGTCACTGATATCATACAAATTAACCGATGACAAAGGATACACTAACATCAGCCCACTGGATAAAGATAATTTATAATGGATGCAGTCACTAAGAACCCAACAACAACAACATAATGAAAATCTAGATTAGACAAATGAATCATAAAAAATCTACTGAGGGCTATTGTGTTCAAAGGCTATGGAAGTATTACACAGAAGCCTTTGTCAAAGGATATAGCAGATAACATGGTACAAGAAGTTACAAGATTATAAAAGTTCATAACTTGTAGTCTTTGTCACAGAGCATGAAGGACAAATCATTGTTCCTCAATCTATATATAACCATGACTCATGAAAACCAATTCAGATTACAATGCCAGATTAAATCAGTGAATCTGGAGAAGAGTATGGCTACTTAACATGCCAAGCTAAAACTAACTCTAAAAGTAGATGAATCCATGATCAAAGTCAGGAACACCTCAGTCTCAATAACCATAATTTATTATAGATATAACCAACTTTAATATTGGTTATAGTTCCTGTGGACAGGACTGTTCAGGACAATGAATATAACTAGGAAGCACAATGATAGTTTAGGCATGAATGTGATATTGATTTAAAGGGAGCGTGAAAGAGACATTTAGAATCAAACACAGGAACGATAAAATTAAGATAGTATTGGTGCACATATCAGAGCAATGGACATTGTTCAAAAGATCTTGATTAAAACAACTAGTAGAGACGATAGGCCCATCAAAGTTATAAAGATGAAATGAGGAAACACTATAACGAAAGATTATGTTAAAATTGAAAACAGTATTAGCCAGATTTTGATCCACATCATTATGATCATATATCAACATGCTATCTATATACCTTATCTTGTAGAGAGTTATATGTGTACATATACATGCATTATAATCTTTGACTCCAAAGTTTTGAATGTTAACACCAGCATAAGTACACCTACCATGATGACAGGACATCAGAAAGCAAAACCAGTTTTCTAATATTTCACATTCTCAAAACATAAAAGAACATATGCAATGCATAATTTATAATAGTTTCTCCTATGTGGCTCCTCAGTGCTTACAAAAATTACATATGTATTGGAGAAACATGACCTATGGAAATGAAGGGCTGAAGAAGTGCATTGGTTGAAAAAACATAAATTAGCCTGCAGTGCAATTCACTGAAAGAGATACCTGGAGCTCCTAATAGATGTAGCATTCCAAAGGTTTATGTTTGGCCATGATCATATATATAGGTATGGTTTTGTTGTCATCATAATTGCATCTTAGAACCCAATGTTAAGTGGTCTGGCCCAGAGCTTTCTAACTATAACTTGACCATACTACAATTTGAACAAGACAAGCAGGTTATTCAGATGTCTATACGATAGTGTTCTGTTTACTAAAGCAATATAATTCTTGAATAAGAACTTTTCGATGACGATGACTGATGGCATAAACTAACAATCTCTATTAACCATAGTTAGTAATAATCTTCCTAACCAATAAACTAATGGATCATAATTTAAAATTAAAAAAGTAAAAAAAAAAACTAATCAAAGCCTCAGTAGACAAATTGAAAACAAGGGTTAAGGTCCTAGCCATACTAGCCAACAATTGACATAGTATATGCTGAACTATGTGAGATCAAACCAGCCATTTGCCAGGTATTGCTGTTAAAATTCCATATATTGGCAAGCGTTACATGCACCCATTACTTGTAAGAATGCCAACATCATAGTAAGTATGCATCATGACATCATCAGCACCTCAATCAACATATAGAGGCTTTGTTAGGTTTTGGAATCCCCAATATCTTTGGAATAAAGTAGGCGGTTGCCCAAACAATTTGTTCGACACACACATGCCCAAGCAATGTGTGGTTTTACACTGTCAAGTAGATGACTGCTGATAATGTCGAATATGGTTGTCCTTCTAAGTAACGCGAGAGACAATCTCGACCATCTCTTGCATTCAAGTGGACCATATCAAAGCATCCAATGTCTCAATCACTGTCATCTCAATTTGCCAAAACAGGAAAAGACCAGCAGGAATAGGCCTAGAAGGATCGTTCTCCGACGCTTAGGTCAGAATTTGATATGGAAAAAAATTGGAATGCTTAAGAGTTTAACAGTGCTCAAAGTATGATTAGCCATTGACTGCATTAGGATTCTCCTTTTGGTATTGTAGTTTTCTTAAGGACAAATCAGTATGCACTGAACATTGAAGTTGCTCTAGCTAATTTTTTTTACAGTCAGTTGTGGATTGAGACAGAGGATTGCTGACTTGTACTGTCACGGTCACCTATGCCACATGGCATCTCTGTGATTCATGGGCCAAAAGGAACAATGTGTTCACCCTTATGAACCACTATGGAGTAAACTATTGTGACTAAATTGAAAAAGCAATTCACAATCAGTGTATAAATGCTCATGCAAATGTGTACCAATATAACTAGAACAGCTAGCAAACATGCCACAGCTACTGAAGATTGATTACAAGTGTGACATATCATTCAATTGCTAAATTGTAAGATATCAGGAAAGAACAATAAATTTAACAGAGGATGATAATTATGAAACATCATCAAGAAAGACCAATAAAGTAAATAATGTGAAGTTTCAAATAGAAAAGTATTAGATGGTGCTCTGACTAGATAGAGGCCAAAATTTACCACATTGCTTGGTCCTACATGAACCATATTCCAAGTCCAACAACCCACAGTCGTACAAGCAACTAAAGATTTCAAACTGAAGCTAAATAGTGCTAAATGCAATTGGAAATTTATTAGATATAAGCAGGGACATGAAATGGAGGACATACCATGTTATGGCTATAAAATGAAAAAAAGGAACAAAAAAGTGTGCCCTGCTAGCCAAAGATGGAAAACAGGGACACTAACTGATTAGCCAAATTTAGGAGAAGACCAGAGCAGAATATGGTCAAACTGCATCATCCTTGCACAAAGATATATAATTATGTATATATACAGATACATAAATGGACATGTATGTGTAAAACCTTTCTAAGCTTAAAGATTCTCACCAAAAATTATGCAGAAAATGACCAATCAAACTTAGGCAGTATAAGTCCTGCAAAAGATCCACACCTTTTACTTGATAGCAACACCTTCCATTGTTTTGCATGTACTCCACCCTGAATGAGCTTCTTAATGGCCCAAGGTCTACCCTTTCTCCCATGATTAGAGTCAATAACAGGTTTAGGAAACAGGATTCCGTTAACCAAAACTCTTAAGTCATTTCCCACGACCAAGTCTAACCTAAATTAGGGATTCCGTATATCTGCAAAAGGCCAAGGAGACAACTCCAGCAAACTGTGAGCAACATAAGGATTCTTTGCTCCTTCGAGCTGCAGTTTCGGGGATCAACTGCTTTCCACTCAAAATCCAACAAGTCGTCACTATTTTCACTCTTCATGCTACAAACTATCCGAGTAACAAAAACTAGACGATGCCACCTCGCATCACCAATGTTGATCACCTTTCTTTTCAGTCATTAGGGTTACATATATTATCCGATCCAAAACGAAAAGCACAATCAAATTCGAAGAGAACAAATTCTTTAGACGACGTGCGTCTGGGTGATTAATTACCAAAAGAAACAATCAAGAAAGATTCCAAGGAACAAGGACCGTGAAGTCCGGCATACCATCAAGAACTCTGAAGATTTCTCCAACCCGTAGATTTCACAGCCGCAAACGAGAACCCCAAAAGCAAGTTTTCGACGGCGAACGGTTGCGCGGTGGAAGCTCCTCCGGGGCTCAGCGTGAATGCGGATAATAGGAGGAGCAGAAGACGGCGACGAGAAAGGTTGGGCTGCGATGGTGGTCAGCAAAGACGAGATGGGTTTGAAGCTTCGAAAGAGTCGAAGCGAGGGGACAACCGCCATGGGACAAAGAACCGGCTGATGACGTCAGCATATCTCCTTATTATTATTATTACAACATCATATATATATATATATATATAAACATGAGACTATATGCATGTATAATTAATTAAGTAGATCAGTTTTTGGTTTTCAACACAGATAATTTTTTCTTAATTCCAACTCACGCTAAAAAAAAAATCGTTCTTATTGTGAAGGTTTGATCCATTGTGTCGAGTCAACAAGAAATAAAATTCGATTAATTATTTTGAGTTTGAACAAAAAAGCCTATAATTATTCTGCAGTGAAAAGCACAAAAAAAAGTATTTTTTCAGGTAAATCACCTAAAAATAATTGTGAGGAAAAGATGTCGACGTATTGCACCCAAGCCCGGCCCACGTACACGTTACGACGTCCGAAGCATGCAAAGATCCATGATTAGGAAACACGGCACGTTACGACGACAACTACCAACGACATGCATCAAAGCAAAGACTTGAGAGACCGCGCCTTCATCCTCTTCCTCCCTTTCCTCCTGTAGCTCCTCCTGCCCTCCTTCCTACCATCATTTCCATCCCTCCCACTGTTATCATGGTCATCGTCCTCGCTGTCCTCCTCATCCTCGCCGGCCATCGGGGTCTCGACCTCCTCCTCATCGGCAGCCGGATGACTACACCCGTCGCCGTTATCACTGCTGCTGCCTCTCGTCTTTCCTCGCCAGGGACCGAAGCCGGAGTAGTAATAGTAGAAGCTAGAGTCGGCTCCAGCTGCTTCGGTCTTCTTCTTCCTACGGCCGACGTCACCATGGCTTTCCTTGGGTGACCCTGAGGCCTTGCCATGGCCATGGCCATGGCTGCAGCTGTAGGAGCGGAGCTGGGCGAGATGGTAGTTGCAGAGCGAGTGTGGGTGATGCGCCCGCCGCTTACAGTGCCAACCTTTGCCGTCGCTCTTCTTGCAGCTCGAGCAGGCCTCCGTGGCCGCAGCTCCTCCTCTGGCTTCGACAACGTCGTCTTTCTTCTTTCTCCTCGTCTTGGCCGTCTCCTTCTTCCGCGACCAGTTCATGCGTGCTTCGCTGTCAGAAAAGCATCGTTTTCCGGCATGAGGACCTACGTCTCCGTTTCGCTCCATTTCCCAATGGTCTGGGGAGCTGAGCAAAAAGGAAAGAGGGAGAAGACGAAGAAGAAGAAGAAGAGCATGGTTTGATGGTTACCTCTTCGGGACACAAGCTACAGCAGCGGACTCATATTTGATGCGATTTCCCGGAATGCCCCTCACTTCTCCCACTTCAGCTTTCACGCCACTTCCCAGAATGCCCCCGTCATCCTCTTCTTCCTGCCATCGTTTTAGGTCGAGTCGCCGTCGGACCAAGAACAAAAAATCCGCAAAGAGAGAAAGTAAGGGAATCGAAAATGAGACCAGGGCGACAGCGCAGATTATCTGATTGCTCTATCGTGATCGATCGAGCAACTAGGGTTTCCAGTTTCCGATTCAATTCCCTTTCTTTCACGAATCGGAAGCGGAACTTCCACAAACAAATACCAGCAGAGGAAGCAGGAAGCTAGCTGGAATTGTTTTCCGAAATCAGCTCTCATGCTGCCTCTCCCAACCGGATCTATTTCCAGCATTAGGGATGAAAGCGAGCAAGAAACAAAAGGAAAAACCCTAACTTTGAAGGAAACACTCTTGCTCGAGAAAACGCGAGGGGCAGAGTCTTAGGCCAGAAAAAGAAGTCGAAATTTAAGCTTTGTATGCTGATTCAGAAGCCGAAAGGAAGGGTTTTGCAAGTTAAAGACGGAGGCGGAAGAGGAGGTGAGGGGAAGATGGATCGTACCTGATCGTAAGCAGCTACGAGATCGAGGCACGTCAGATCATCCCAGGGGGAGCGGTTCAGCTCGCAGAGGAGAGCGGCAGCGGCAGCGGGAGCGGGGACGTCGGTGCCCCACGACCGCGGCGGCGCAGCGGGGAGCGGAGAAGAAGAGCAGGCGGGCAGGGTCGTCCCCAGCAGCCGGTTGGCGCATTTTCGGATCCGCATGGCCGATCGACGGCCGCCGAGCCAGGCGGAGGGCAGGGTGGGAAGGTGGGACGGGTGGCGCGACGCAAAGCGAAGAGGTGGGAGGTGGTGGCTACCTTCTTGCTTGGGATTCTCGGGGACGCTCCCTGCCTCTCTCTCTCTCTCTCTCTCTCTCGATCCCTGGAATGCCTTTTATTATTATTAATGTTATCGAGTCATAACCCGTTCAGATCTCAACCTTGTGATTGGAGGAACAGTTCGGGGCCCAGTTGGTGCACCAACGGGGAAACGTTTGTGAACAGATGGCAAATTCTTTCTTTTCATTAATGCCCATGGAGTTGCACAAATGCACGGAAATGCCCTCCATGCCGCATTGAGATGCGTGAAAGGATGGCGCATAACATGCAAGTCCGCCGTCGTCGGAGCCTCGATGTCTACATGTCGATGGTTTTGCTTTTCATTAGTAGAAGAGAGTCAATGGAAGTAAGCATGAAGATAAAATAAATATTACCTTATGAACCAAACTCAATATTTATCTAAATCAGACTGTTCTTTAGTCCTCTTTTCAATCTTCATTTCACGATTTAATTAAAAACACAAGTCATCATATTGGCCTATTGAGAGAGAAGCACATAAAATGATTGTTTTTGGATGAACACACTCGATGATACATCATAATAAACCAACCAGTTGTCCATGTTAATTTAGGAGCTCATCAGCTGGCTTTTCCTGTGTAAGATTTTTGGAGTTGGGTTGCTGCAACCTCTAAAAGAGACTGCACTGATACACATGTTCTTAACTTGACTACAACATAAATCATTAGACAGCATGGTTAGTATCATCACACTACAATTTCTTTCAAGTTGGTTTGGCATGAATTGCACCAACTAATTGGCTAATTAGTTCAAGCACACGGATTTCTTACTTCACCAGTTGATCAGATCTATGCTAATTACTCGTGTCTGTCGATCCTGCCGCACCGCTTTGTTCCTTTTTTCTTCTCTAGGAGTAGAGAGTTTTCAATCTCTTTGCAGCTTGGATGAAGCCTACGATGACTTGCATCTCATCCAGTTGCTTGTTGCAAGTGGGAAGGTTCAATTATAAGATTAATCAGAAAAGTGGGGGCTTACAAGGAAATAAAGGAGATATGAAAAATAGTTGTTGATGCAATTGGTGTAGCAGATTCTTTGAACATATAAAAGAATGATGGATAGAACAAGTACCTGTGAGCGGAAATGACTCTGCACCACATGAATCAGCTGTTCCTTTGTAGGGTTAGGGTTGATGTTTACCTATTTATCAATTACGCATTTGATGTTAAACTTTGCAAGAAGCAGGTAAAAGAACTACCAATGAGAATAGTTGAATGGTTGTTCCACCAAGAAACATACAAGATTGAAATGCCTCCCATATCTCCATAAGGTGGGTGTTCCAAGCTTTGCCAGATTTACTCTCTGTTCATAGTCTACAAAGTATAAGCACAGGTTCTCAACATGTATATAACCCAATCTACAAGCTATATTTTTGAGATGACCGATAATATGCACATAAAAAAGTTTATTTTCTCCTAACATGTATACACAACCACCCTATTCAATAAAAAAATATCTAAAAGTTCAAAAAAGAAATTACTACATAATGTCATTTAAGTTATTCAAGTCAATATTTTCTCACCATCTTGTGACCATTAGAGTGAGTAGTGCCTCGATGGTTGCTTCGTCCATTCGACTTTGCCAAAGATGTCCATGGCCTGGTATGCCTAACTCTTGGTTTTGTCGGTTTATGGAACTCTAAGCTAGCTGTGCAAACAAGGTCATTTTGTAAAGAGATTATAGTGCAGGTTTTAGTTCTCACTTCAGGCAAACATAATCCTACATCCTACCATTTAGATGGACCAAGTTAAACAAATAGTACTTGCCAGTCTGGATAACTCACAGTAAGCAATGTCTTTGTATCCCACAGCTGAACTACTGCAGAATGAGTTGTCACAGTCAATATTATTATCATCGTCTTCATTTCCTGTAGGAGCTTCTAAGACACTCAATGCGTTTCTTTGTAGTTTCACCTCCACCCCATTCTTTAGGACCTGATCAAATGTCAGCGTAGTGTCATAACATGAGCTTTTTATTTGTCAAGTTTTCTCAAATTATTAGATAAAAGCAATTAAGTATGGCTAAAAATATATGGAAATAATCAAAAAGGAACTTATCAAGTGTCAAGTTTTCTCAAATTATTAGAAAGGATAATGACAAGAGTCGAACAAGCAATCACACAGGTCTAGTCAAAACTTTTTTAGATAATATCTGTGAGCTAAATTAAACACATTAATAAGTGACTTACTATAGCCTTCTCTCCTATGCATTTCTAAACATATTGATAAAACTTAGAAAAGTAAGGACAGTCAACTATGAACTGATATGGTAAGCTGATTGTGGCTCAATAAATCACACTGGAAATGGTTGTTTTAGCAGAAAAATTTTTCCTTTTTTTTCACTTTCTCTACATCAGTTTGAAAAGAATTCTAATTCTAATTGGAATTTGAATTATGGATATAGGTAATTAATTCCTCAGAATATTCCATCATCATGAGTTCTGTGATGCAAGAACTAGAGCGGAAGTTAGTAAAAGAACAGATACGATGAAAAACAGTTACTTACCAGCCAATGCCAGCCACCAAGACCAACAGCTTTCTTCACAACACCTTGAAGCCCGACTAAAACAGATTTTGTTCTGTTGTTACCAGTTACTATGACTTTAGTGTGCCTGGGAAGCACCGATAGCTCTTCATCACCACTTTCCTCCCGAGATGTAGATAGGGTCCGGGCTGAACACAACTCGGCCTCCATGATTTGAATAAAATTCTTACCACCTGAGTTCCAAGCAGAAAAAAATACATCAGATTTCTTCGGCTAGACAGAGAAGCTCAACCGTTAGATAAACTCAATACTATAATTCAAGATCGCAAAAGCAAAAAAATGATATGGCACGTAGTAATGCAATGACATTTGAATTAGGAATAAGTAGGGTGATTGTGTATGTATGAGTACAACATCACATCTTTCAGGTGCAGGCTTATCCCCATGCAGGACCCGCACCTAAAAAATATCAATAGAAGCTCGATCAACACCAAACAGATTGTGACTGGACTTTGGAATATAATCCAAATGCTCAAAATTGTAACAGGCTACTCGACATCCAACAAATCTTGTCAGAGAAGAAAATTACTCTCAGAAACCAACATTTCTGAAAGTTATTTGAAGGCTACATAATGAGTGACTTGGGAACAAATCAAGTCACAGTGATCGATGCCAACATGCATGTCAACATATTCCACAAACTCACCTGATTCTATAAGCCGAGCAACTTGGACAACATATTCATGGAGTGATCACCCTGTTATAGATTAAAGAGGTGCTGAGACGAAAGCCTACTTTTACGAGTCCTACAAAAATGAAATGTATAATTGAAATCGCATATCAAATCAAGCAGTAAGTTCGTAGACACTCGGAGAAGAATAGACTGTATATTTACCATCAAAAAATTACTTTTTTCAACACCATCCTGTATCACAATATCGATCTCTCCAAGGATTAGAAATTAGAGAAGGAAACTAAATGCAAAATCATAAATCAGGGTAGGCGAGCATGTTAAATTGATCTCACACGAACAGATTACATTTTAATGTGGTTCTTCGGATAAAGCATGCATTAAATCCAGAGAATAAAGTATCCAACTGAAGGAACAGAATGCCAATCTCCCACCAAAAAAGAAGCCAATTCAAATCCATCGTCGGGGATCTAAATCTCAATTCCTTATAGTCCTTAAACAAATCCAACAACAAACCAAGACGAAACATCAAAATACAAACCAAACAAGCAGATCAAAAGGCAATACCACAATGCTGCAGGCAGCAGCGACGCAAAGGACCGAACTCGAACGAACCGCCCAAATGCGGGGGATTAGCCGAGGAAATCACAAGACCTAGGGCTTTCCGCGACCACGGAAACGGGCAGATCTGCGAGAACTGGAACCCGGAAAAGGGATTCGTGCGATCTTTTGGGGAGGGGAGAAGGGGAAGAGCGCAGGGGAGGGCACAGTAGATGCATTACGACTGCTGCAGTATTAGCCGGGGAGCGTTTCGGACCGGCTTTTAAGGAACCTTCCGGTCGGAAGCCGACGCAGTGGCTACGGCTCGGCTTCACCCGGTAGAGTCTTAAAACGGTTCTGTACCGTTATACTCCTTCTTACCCTTTTTTGTTCACCGAACCATTTTCGTCCAAAATTTATATTATTTTGATTCAGTTAATTTACTTTTTCGTGTTTTCTCTTACACAAAAAAGATCATAAACCAATCAAATTATTTTTTCGTAAAATAAAATTCGATGAAATATGATTAAAATTATTTTTTTATTTTTACGCTTTTACCACTCAACGCGTTCGAACTTTTCCATTCACCCGAGTCACGTGGGTTCACGTGAGCTGCCGACTGGCCGAGTCGAGTCGAGTCGAGCCGAGCTGAGCCGAGCCGCATGGGGAACAACGACAACGACACGCGTACGCATCCGGCTGTCGGGATCTAATCCGCAAGGAGACGCCGTCGTCGACCCGCGTGGAACGGACTCGTCGACTACCCTGTCGGGGACCCGAGCGGGCCCGCATCGCTTCTCGCGCGGGTACGCGTCGGGTGGGTGCGTTCGTCCAGCCGTGCGGCGCGCCCGGGAGTGACAGATCTATAGGGCGCGCTACAAGTCCGTAATTTAGGAAGCATTTGGAGTCCGGTCTCGGATTCAAAAATAAATAAATAAATAAATAATAATAACTAAAAGAATAGAAAGGAAGATAATATATACTTAGCATTATCACCTACGTGTCCGATGTGGGCCCACATCCATTTCATGAACCATGTAGAACCGTACCATATCCATCCAAAATTGATGGGAGAAAGACCAATAGAATAGAACATGGTGGAAAAGGGATGGATTGGACCATAGTATACATTTAATTATTGTACCACTTAAATGAATCTTAGATATTTTAGATGAATGATTTGGAAATGAATGAGTTGATCTCATGAGGAGGAGAGAAAGAACACTTGCTCTAAGTATATAGGTGGCTAAATCAAATCCCAATTTGAATGTTGTAATTGTCTTTTTTTTGTCGGTGTTTTAATAAAAAATATTTGTAAATATAAATTTAAATATTATATCTGTCTCCTTTATTGGTACTTTTATCAAAAATATTTATTTTTCATCTGAACTTGCACCATATATTTGGGTTATAATGTACAAAGAGATGTCAACATTAATTATGGGTCAAATACAGGTTATAATAGTCAACTGATTAGTAATGGACATGTTAGGATAAGGGGGACATTTTGAATGGAGCTTTGATCAATCATGTCATCAATTTCCCCCTCTTGGCTAGACAAAATGTGAGCATATTGTAGTTTCTAATCACCTAATGATCGAAGATGGAAACGAAAGATCCATTAATCAATTCACAATCCAATCTGTAGCTTATCATATTCATTGATGATGAAGATGATGATGATAATAATAAAGAAACCCGTTACGACGATCGACAATGACGAGAGATACTTAAAATATTAAAAATTTAAATTAAAAATTTAAAAACTCAAGACATCTTTTTGAAAAAGCTCAAAAAAATCTTTTTTAAGAAAATCATCTTACAGTTTTCATCTCAAAAAAAACATATTAAAATCTTGTTAAGCAAATCTATCTAAGGTGCTTGAATTGGATTTATCTACTCTTGTAATTAGATTTAGGATGAGTTGGAATAGAAAAGTGGCATTGGAGTCAAATTTAGGTCAGGATTGAAATACAAAGGTGATTAGTGATGATGAGTTCCACATTAATAATTACTCTCTGATGAACCTTCCATGGATTGCATCCTTCCTCTATTTAGAGCATCTAAATTCATTCCAAATCCAATCCTATCTATAATAACTTAATCTGACTTTTATAAAAAAATATTGCTTCTATTAAAGATATCAACTAAATTAGCTACTAAAGACATTAAATATCAAATAGCTTGGAAGCAGTGTCACAGAGAGAGAGAGAGAGAGAGAGAGAGAGAGAGAAATGAAATTGAGCTACTGTATTAAACAACACATAGAAGTATGTTTAGGTTAATGATAACTTCTAAGAGAGATATCACAATGTAACCAATACAAAACATAAGCCATATTTCCTTACATCTGTATAACATGTCCACAAGGATTCTTTCTAGTGTCAGCTGCACAAAGATTTCAAGGCAAAATAGTACTTGAGATGAGCAGAGTCTCTGCTCCACAGTAGCATATTCTTGATATGATCAACCCAGATAACATAGACAAAGAACTCTAAATGAACAAATTAATGACATATCTACTGCTGCAATCATTTTCAGGTGATTGCATTTTTCTTTGTTTTCCATGATATGCTCCACAACTAACATAACATTTCAACAAGAATCTTGAGAACAGTTAAAAGCAGCAGTCTCAGAAGGCATAAACCTACCAAATGCAATCACTAAAATTCATATCATATTAACAAGGTTATTAACAAATTCAACCTAAGCAGTGTAGTTAGATATAATAGAATGGGAAGAAAATTGATGCAAATTTAAGGACAATATCTATTCAGTTCATCAGTTTACTGATAAGCCAAAAGATTGTTATTCAAATCAAATTCAGGTATCATAAAACTATACATCGACAGGCATATAATCCACCAAGGAGTCGCAACATATATGAGTGCCAATGTGGCTCCATGGTTCTGTGGCTTGGAGGTCACAAGATACATTCCTAAGATGTCATGTGTCCAAGGCATTTCCTATAGTAATATTTCCGATCAGTAAATTTAATTCTTTGGCAGCAAGCAAGGAAAGAAATATCAGATTTTTCTCTTGAAATGTTGCAATGAGTCGTGCGTCTCTCAAGCACAGAATCTAAGACAACTAAGTACCATGTTTACTCTTAAAAACGGTATTTGTGATAGTTTCGAACAACATACAACTCATTGCAACATTTCAGGGAAGAGTGTGCTAATTTTCCTATTTTCAAATGCTGTCGAAGAATCTAAAATACAAGTGAGGATAATGTTAGACATAGAATTTTTCAGTGTCAACCACTTCGACGTCAATATGCTAACAGCTCAGTTCAAGTGACGGTATTCAGCTATGCCGAATGAACGAGCACAGTATAACATCTAGACAAAAGCAACCACATAATAGAATGTCACCGCTCGGATCTAACTCAATATATATTGGCCATAAATTTTACAAGGGCCAAAGAGAGAAAAGTCTGTCAGAAAGTAAATCAAGAAGAGAGGAGAATTAAAAAAGTGAAAGTTATTCCCATGTTATTTGAAGCCGAGACATTTCTGTGATTCTAATGTGAAACCACATGAAAGAATGTGTAGCAAATTGTGAAGAAAATAGATAAAAATTAACTAACTTGGACATTCATGAGAAGCCTTGTAACTTTACTTAGTGTCTCTCGAGCAGATATGGTGTCCGGATGATGCTCGCCGCATATGGAAGTCCTAATAAATATAGCCTCTCGAATGAGGTCATCTCCTTTGTCATACTGTCCTCCCTTGAGCATTAGTTTTGCCCTTGTTTGTAAAACAGTTGCCCTCAAGAGTGATAATTCCTGCCAGAGATATGTGTTCTGAGAATCAGATTGAACTTGTCTGACGCAGCAGAATGATTTATCAAGCCACTTCTCAGCTCGTGAAACGAGGGAGTCCGCAGCAACTTCTAGAACATCAGTTGAATGCTGGAGAAGATCCAATGCTGCATTGCACTGTGATAGGTTGACAAACATGTTTATTGCAAGTGGCAGAACCACACGTTTCATGAAAAATAGCAACTCGGACGGTCTTAGTCTTACAACAATGGGATCAGTTGCAAATCCGAAAAGTAAGAAGCAAGCTGCCCAGAGATGCTCAGGGTATAGAGAAATGGAATTTCTAAGGTAAACTGCTTGTACCATAGCATGAGCAAACCGATTGCCCCCTCTTTTGCGAGCATATAATTTGATGAGTTCATGGAAATGGATACAGTCAGGTTTTGTGCTACTTCTCCCAATCCCAAATCTGATCAACATGGAAGTTGCCTCAGCTTCAGATCTCTTGATACGAGAAGCAGTTAAGCTGCCGGATAATGCATGCCAGCACTTCTTCCAAAGGGGGGAACTACGACGCTTCTCTGGAACCTTGTGTGCAGCCAAAGCTAAGAGTGGTATTGGAATTGCAGAAGGAGCAAACCAACCGCTTACCTGAACCATTCTGGTGGCCAAACTCCTTGGTCCGTCAGCATGATCAAATATGGAAAGACAGACATCTAAAAGTTGAACAAGAACTGCATTTCTTCTAAATGTAAGAGCCTCTCTTTCAGTCCATGCCATATCTCTCACAGGCATTCTATTAATAGTATCAAGAAGTCTACTTGGAGTAATGGGTAGCTCGGAAAGAATGGCACCAACAATGGTAAGACTTAGTGTAAGCCTGCCGAGCTTCTCCTCAATGACCCTGAGAGCATCAACTTCCACCATGGGATAATCCTTTACACCTCCCTTCATCAAAGACAGTGCCTCCGCACCAGATAAATAAGACAGATTCATGGGATCCAAGCTCATCACCCGAGGAAGGCATGTAGTTATTATTAAGTGTGTTTCTCCACCAAAGCGTGGCAGCAGATCCATGATATCTTTTTGGTCCCACCAGTCTTTCTCATTCTCCAAATTATCTATAATAATTAAGAACGGGATATCTCGAATTAATTCTTTCCTAACACTCGCAATGGCTTCCTCTTCCTGCTCCTCAAAGCACTTTGTTCTTCCTTTCTCAAGAGAATGATTCTCGATGCTAAGGTCAACTTCCAAAAAGGTTCGCAGAGCCAAATAGTTTTGCCGAAAATATCTGGCTTCTCCGCCCACCCATAAAACCATCTTATATCTCTGAAAGAATCTGTAAGCATATTCCAAAATTAACTCTGTCTTGCCAATTCCAGACTCTCCAGAGACACAAGCAATACCCTTGCCGTATAGTATCTTCATGGATCTTTTTCTCCTGGTGTGCCTGCTTCCATTCTTTGGCCTTAGAGGGCGGTATCG